GTTTATTCCCATTAGCAAGTGTTTTTGTGGTTTGCCAGTTCCAAAAAAACTATTAATCATCACAGCAGTAGGATTTCCTTCCTACTATTGGCTGTCTTCACCAGTATTAACACAAGACTGCAAATATCTCTCACTTCAGACTTCAACAGAGTTACTGCAAGGAGGAATCTTCAGAAGTTCACCAGCTGAATGTGAAACCAGTTTCTCAAATGACTCACCTGCAAAGCTGTTTAAACAGCACTTATGAATCTATTCATAGGCAGGTGACCAGATAACGGTTCTGAGACAGTCTAGACCTCAAACTAAACTTAAGTAGGCACCTGTGAAACAGTCCTTGAATAGGGAAACCATTTTAAATGGTGCATAGAAAAACACAGATATTCTTATGCATACCAGAAACGACAGCAAATCAACAACTATGGGTAGATAGATAGACAGTCCCAAAGCCTCACATTACTATGTACATGATTTTATCTTCAACTGAGCAATTTTTGTGTGTTTAAAACAAAGCCACTTTAAAAGACATGTGTACATAACAGAAGAACACAGGCAACTCTCACCACAGCATTACTGTTATCACCATGGCCGAAATCTGAAAGCAAACAAGACTCAAACGCAGTGATTCAGCATTTTTCACTACTTACAAAACATATAGCACTGTGTGGTTTGAGTTAAATGTTGTACCAACAGTAATGTGCCTTGCGTTATCTTACAAACTATCTGTTCTGGTCTATTTAGCAACAATGCTGCTATCTGAAACATGATCGTGTAGAAAACTCCCACTGCCTCTCTCTTTCTCTTCTCTATCTCTCTGGTTGTGATATCACTCCATGAGCATGCCAGCTCTAGTCAAGAACTCTGTCTTGTGTAAATTGTGCCTTTCTTGAAGAAAGAAAAAGAAGGGGAAAAAAGCACTTTTGCCCAAAACAGCATTCCTGTGAGCTCATGTGACTGTTGCCCTTCACTGATGACCATATATTAAGATTCTTTCACTAAGAAAAGAAAAATGTGCTTAAATGTTTAAAGTTGATTTACTGAGAAAGTGACATGTTTATTAATGATTCCTTACTACAGTAACATCAACTGTAGCAACTATTTTGTTGTAAATGTTGTAGACTCGTTGGTGAATAAAAGAAGAAACTTAAACCAGCCTTGGCAGGTAGCTGGTTTTTGCCACTTTTCAGCTACACCATCATAAATAGATAGACAGACGGATGGACGGACGGAGGGATCCATCCATCCATACATATATACATACATAGCTAAAGTGAAATATTCAGAATGGATTGATAGATATGTTGTTGGTTGGTGTTTTAACACCATGCCAGCTTCCTTGGCTATTTTCATGGAAAGTAACAAGTTACTATATATTAATGAGAATGAGAATAGTATGAGAGAATACTATAAAAGAGCAATTTAAAAAAATATATAAGGCTTTTAAAGATTGAGTTAGATATATAGACACAGTGGCGGATTTAGGCATGGGCGACATGGGCAACCGCTCAGGGTGGCATTTTGCCCGAGGCGGCACGGGGCGCTTGCACTAGAAAAATAAATAAATAAACGGAATGCTCGACCGGCCAAACAAGTTGGTGTTTTTTCAATGTAGGCTTCAGACACGGGTCACGACGAGGCGTTCCCCATAGCGACCCCTAGAGGACGCAGTGTCTCGTTCCCTTCAGGGAACCATGGTTACATAAGTAACCCGAGACGTTTTTACAGCTCATTTGCATGGCACATCAATTAGGGTGACCATATTTTATTGTTTAATTAGTTTAATTAGTTTTCCAAAAAGAGGACAGTAGGGGGGCGGGGTTCGTGGCCGGGGCTTCGCCTAACAGTATACGTAGCAAGGTTTTTTTTTGTTTGTTTGCTTATTTTGTTTTTATAATAAATAAAAAGAAAACAAGTAGAAATAATAGAAAAGGAATAGGGAATGCTTGTGTTAGAGGGTCAGTTTTAAATAAAAATAAAACAAGTCAATAGAACAGAAAAAGAATAGATAATGCTAGTGTTAGAAGGTCATTATTTATAATAAAGAAAAAATAAAAAAAGTAGAAAGAATAGAGAAAGAATGGAGAATACTAGTGTTAGAGGCTCTTCTTTATAAATAAAACAAGTAGTTAGAATAGAGAGTGCAAATGTTAGAGGGTCAAGTTTTTTAATAAAAACAAAAACAAGGAGATAAAATTAGAAGTAGCATTAGAATAGAGAGTGCAAATGTTAGAGGGTCAAGTTTTTTAATAAAAACAAAAACAAGGAGATAAAATTAGAAGTAGCATTAGAATAGAGAGTGCAAATGTTAGAGGGTCAAGTTTTTTAATAAAAACAAAAACAAGGAGATAAAATTAGAAGTAGCATTAGAATAGAGAGTGCTAGAGTTGCAAATGAAGATGAGAAATGTGTTTTCAGCCGTTTCTTGAAAATATTAAGGACTCAGCTGCTTGGATTGAGTTGGGCAGGTCATTCCACCAGGAGGGAACAGTTAATGTAGAAGTCCATGAAAGTTTTATCATAAGTAGAATGCAAAATGTTTCAATACAAGCATTTCAGTCAAATGTAATTTATGCAATATTTCAAACCTTTAACCCAATTCTGTTGATAAAACGCGGACTTAGCAACCCTGCATCCGACAAGAGCTGCAGGAGTCAGATTTCACTGAACACAGGTCGAGAATAAGGAGAGATGACTGACAAGACCATGCTTGAGTATTTGCTGCTTCACAGATTCTGAGCTCATTGACAAATATCTGATCTTGTAAGATGTTCACATGGGGAGTCAGCATCAAAGCCTCTCGTTTACTTTGAATGGAGTGACGTCAAGCGTTGGTGAAATGAATTGTGGGTCCGTCGTGTCGCGTTGGGTCCGTTGCTCGCGGCAGAAGTTGAAAACTTTTAAACTTTTCAAGCACCAACGCAGGCGTCAGCCAATCAGATGACCTTATGCAAATACCCTAGCTCAGACGCTAGCCAATCGCGTTCATGCAACACCAGACGACTAATGTGATTGACGGTCGCGTCAGAACCAAGCTTCAGAAACGCCCTCCTTCAAGCGTTAACGCTAACGCCCCGTGTGAATAGGGCGTGAATGGGGCGTAATGTTTACACAATGCGCATCATAAACCTGTCTTTTTAGCAAGTATGGGGGTCATGTCATTAAGTATTTTAATACGACTGAATTTGTATTTAACTTGATCACAGTTTAATAAAAACATTGTAAGCTACGCTTTCATTTCCACAGTTATTCAAACAGCTAATAAAAAAATATAGGAAAGCAGTAAAGAACATTTAAATGATCAAAGAACATAACTGACAATATTCTAGCAGTTTAAGCACTCTCAAAAAAACTCCCGTTATAATCACTGAAGCTGTCTACACCGTGAAAGGAATTTCTTACTTACATCACACATTCATCTGCACTTTGTTTTTTTTATGATGAGAGAATACACGAGAGTGCAGAATTCAGTCAGTCAGCTAGCGCGCACACTCAACAAAACTCCGGCGTTTCAGCTCATTCATTTCATTTTCACTTCATTCCCTTTATTTTACGTCACTTCAAAAAAAAAAAAGGAGGGGAAATGCGCTAAAGATAATTGGTATGTATGCAGCTATCACATCTAGCTAAAATAGGCTCATATATGTCTAATGTTATGCTATGTTGCTTTCTTGTTATTACACATATAGGGCAACAACAATCATTTTTTCTGTCCAACTAGCCTACATAATCAGACAGTAAAATGTGATATTGTAACAATGTATTTTTTAAACAAATGTAACATTACTCACTTTATTTTTTGTATTTATTTCTTTATTTGTTTGAATTTGTAATAATCTAAATATATAGGCTACTTTTATATAAAATTGCCAAATTTATGTAAAATTAATTTCATTTAGAGGTGGCAGACGGGGTGGTTCGCCCAGGGCGCCATACAAGAACCGCCACTGACCGATGGATAGATGAATGACTCGTCTTCCTTCTAAACTCCGCAATACATGGTCTTCTTGCAGCCCCGTCCGCATGTCATGAAGTAAAACACACTACGTCCTATAAATACGACACCATCAGTTAAACGTGTAACTGTATACTCCGCGCGCGCGAGAGAGACGCACCAGCCGCCGCTCTCGTAGCCAAACGCGCGCCGTAACCGGAGATGCTCTACTCATCATCTCTATGATTAACGCCAGTGACCACCGTGACACCGAGCTCTCCTCTTTCCATCGAGTCAAACATTTGCTTTGCAATGAGTGTTTAAAGCGTAGGCTACCAGTTGGTGTTGTTAAGACCAAATGCATGTTCACTTGTGCGTCTTGTCCATCTGCTGGAAACATGTTTTGGAACAAGGTGGTTTCTAGCTGGTCTAAACCGGTCGTTAGCTAGTCAAATCTAGCAGTACCATCTTGGACCAACAACAAACCTGATCTTAAGGTGGTCAAGCTGGCTTTAAGTGGAAATATAAACCAGTTAGTACTCCGCTTAATAATAATCTTAGACCAGATACCATTTCCACAGATACCATCTTAAGGTGGATAATACTTCATATAGCATGAAATCCTTAACATAAGCTGGACTTTATATTTTTTATGATTTGATACTCCCCAAATGTCATATGGGCCTATAATGTGTTTTCAATTGCATTGCTAGCATAGGAAAAGCTATTTGGTTACGATCATATTTTGGTTGCAATATGAACACCATTATACTGTAAAAAAAATTAAACCTTAAGTTTAGCTGCTTACTTTCTTTCTTTCTTTCTTTCTTTCTTTCTTTCTTTCTTTCTTTCTTTCTTTTTTAAAGTAAAATAAAAGTCACACCAGCAGTGTTAAGTTTTGACACCCTTGCATTTAATTACTGAAGAAAATTCGAGTTCAAAAACTCATAAAATCGAGCAGACATTTTTTCACAGTGTAGGCTATATAAAGATAACTATATAGAAAACGTTCACAAAAAGGGTTTGTTTGTTGTTGAAGAGCTGATGAAAGAGGGTATCGGTGAACACCTACCGGCCAGGCGAACTGAAAGGGGATGATAACGGTCCCGAGGTCATTGGCCCTGTTTGGGTTTCCATTGAATCCTTTCAACTGAAACGTATTCCCTCCGATCACGCTCGAGCTTCCAGTGCCGTACGTACAAAAGCCAGATGTGGTGACCTCCAACTGGTATTCCTTTAGACACACTCTTAAGTACGTGTCACATTCGTCCCGGTCGCACAGACCGTCTCGTGCGCTCCGTGCGCCGTCACAGCAGTTTCCATTCGCGAGCTCACCCCTGTTATTCTCCACACTGACCAACTGGAGCTCCAAATAACCCGACGAATGGCACACCTAAAAATAACATTAACAGCAGTTAAAATATGAAATGAAAACAGCCTGGCTTTGTAAGACTTCACAGAATAATTTGTCATTCTCCTATAAAAATACAAGACAGAACATGCAGCTCAACACAATATAGCGGATACAGTGCACTGACTTACATTTGTTTAAGGAGTGATCTTTTGTGGCTATACGGGTATTGCAAATATACCAATCAAGTGCACTCGCACAAATATGAATCTGTTCGCGCAATAATGAAATATGCACTTTACTCTATGATTACTTTAGGCAATGCTTAAAAAGTTTGGATGTAGATGCATTGGTGCACAGTGCACGCGGACTGGTTTTAAAACGCCTTTAAAGTTCAAGGATCACATGATTCCACTGACAGCAGGATAATTCTATTAGGACAAGAATCCCAAAATCTAATTTGACAAAAATGAATGAGTTTGAGTTGTGTAAAACGGTTGTTTAATCTATTGACTTTACAACTAGTGAAGGAAAAGATGGACTTAAAAAGGCATAAGGAAGTTTAACTCACCTCAGTCCAAAACGTCAAAATTAAGAACACTACTGAGAAACAAGCTCCAAAATAGTTATGCATGACTCCAATTAAGTTAATACGACATGGTTAAAAAAAAGAAAACACATATATGCATTATTATCCACAAAAATCCAGCCAATCAAAGTGATTCCTTTCTCCGCAAGAC